GTTTGCACAGACAATGCAATTGTCTACGATTTGAAAAACATTACAAAATAAACACCACAGCTCCTGTGTCTCACAGTTACTTTGTACCCTCTCCTTTAACAGGCAACAGCTGATTTGACACATCACCCTAAATTTTTTGAGACAAAAATCAATAACTGGTAAGTAGAATAAATTATTAAAACTGGAAGAAATCAAAGACTTTTTTAAAAAAGGTTTCTCTCAGATTTCCCCCCAAAAAATCACATAATAATAATACAGCAGGGCTGAACTCTTCCCTGTTGGGAGCTGCTCCTGGCCAGAACTGATGTTCACCTTTCCTAGGAAGGCACAGATACTAAAATATTCCATAAACCTTATGACATGCACCCTTTTTCCTTTCCTTTTTCCTTTGCCATTCCATTTTCCATTACCAGTGAGGCACCCAGCAGCAGGGACATCCCCGTAGGGCATGTTGAGCCCTGCCAGAGGGGAAAGCTCCAAGAAAGACTCATCATCCAGCAGCAGCTTCAGGCGCTCCCGAACAAACAGCTTCTTGTTGCGCTGAGTGTGGCGCAGGATGGCGTTTTCTCCCCCTCCTTTCCTCACCCTCTCCAACAATTCCAAGTATCTAATGCAAAAACAAAGTTTCAGTTAATGGAAACAAAGCTGTGTGGTGTGGTCACGCTGGAGGGGAGGGACGGGGTCCAGAGGTATCTCAACAGGCTGCAGATGTGGGCCTGGGGGAACTTCAACAAGGCCAAGTGCAGGTGCTGCCCCAGGTCTGGGCAATCCCGAGCACAAATCCATGCTTGGCGGGGAATGGATTGGGAGCAGCCCTGGGGAGAAGGACTCGGGGTGTTAGTGGATGAAAAGCTCAACATGTCCCATCTAGAGAAGGCCATGGAGATGCTTCCAGGGCTGCAGCCCCTCTACTCTGGAGACAGGCTGGGAGAGCTGGGGGTGTTCACCTGGAGAAGAGAAGACTCCAGAGAGACCTTAGAGTCCCTTCCAGTGCCTAAAGGGGCTCCAAGAGAGCTGGAGAGGGACTTTGGACAAGGGCCTGGAGGGACGGGACAAGGGGGAATGGCTTCCCACTGCCAGAGGGCGGGGTTAGATGGGATGTTGGGTAGGAGTTGTTGGCCGTGAGAGTGGTGAGGCCCTGGCACAGGTTGCCCAGAGAAGCTGTGGCTGCCCCATCCCTGGAAGTGTCCAAGGCCAGGTTGGACAGGGCTTGGAGCAACCTGGGATAGTGGAAGGTGTCCCTGTCCATGGCAGGGGGTGGAACGAGATGGGATTTAAGATCCCTCTCAACCCAAACCATTTGATGACTCAATGATTCATTCTAAGTTACCTTTTAGTAGATTGAACATAACAAAATATATTGCACAGTTTTCATATAAATGGTAGGAGAAAGAAGACGAACTCACATTTTTGGATTACTTTTTCTTACAAAGTGTAATAAAAAGCAAGGATCTGTTATGTAAAGCACGCATTTTACTTTCCTTATTCAAAAACTGTCTAATAAAGGCAATAATATAATATATAAAAATAAGTCTAACAATGTGCTCATCCTATCTCAGCATGAACCTCCATTTCTAACTACTCTAGGGAAGAACCCAAACAAAGGCTTCCTCTGTCAACTCCCTTTAACAAGTTTATCTGACAAAAATCAGTAACTGATAAGTAGAATAAATTACTAAATCTAGAAGAAATGCACACTGCTGCATGGAAGATACGCTAACAGTAGTGAACATTGCAGTGGGAGGAAGTGATTACCAAATGTTATTGTCAGGGAAGCCTCAAGTTTAGATAAAGAATTGAATAAACTGTAAACAAATGTGGTCTCTCAAATAATTTTGGTCTTAAATAAACCAGGCTTTTCCTTTATTTCAAGCACAGCATTTTTCCCCCAGATGCATCATCTTTAACTATAAATGCTGTTTGACACAACTACTTACACAGCACTCCGTGTGTGACTCCATTATCTTAGTGTGGCTCCCTGCAGACCGTGGAGGTTGGAAAAGCTCTGAAGGAAAAAGCTAAGGATTTTGTTAAAGTCCTAAATGCCACCACAGGAGGGCACAGTGTGTTTTCTGTAGCTTTGCTTCCAGCTCATGGATCTCTCCCTGAACAAAGGCCTTTGCATTTTTGCCATCTGATCTTTCAGGACAAATATATAAAATGCATTTTCCTGCTTTTATCACTGAATCACGACTGACTGCAGTAACTGTCTCCTACTCTGTCAGGAGTGTGTGAGTCACCATTTATGTCTTTGCATTCAAAATCCAACACGAAACAAATGTTATGAAGGTCTAAAAAAAATACTTCTTACCAATATATGCAAAACAACACATGACACTATGTTAAATACAGTTTGCACTTCGATTTGGGTATTTCAGTCAACATTTCACAGAAGGGCTTCGGTTAGGAGGGACCTTAAAGATCACCCCATTCTAACCCCTGCCACGGGCAGGGACACCTTCCACTATCCCAGGTTGCCCCAAGCCCCATCCAACCTGGCCTTGAACACTTCCAAGGATGGGGCAGCCACATTTTTCCATGGGGCAACCGTTGTCCATATGTCGAAGTGCCTGTAAGTAATTCTCACACCATGCTACAAGCAGCAACACTTTTAAACCCCCACAAAACCGGTTTATTACCTTTTAACCACAGCCTCGCTGTTCCTTAAATTCTGTTCGAACACATGTCGGTGCACAGCGAGGACACGTCCGTCCAGAACCGGGTACGTTCTGGGGTGCCGCCTGTTTTTTGACTTATTACTCACAAATCGGCGTGGGAGCAGGTGGTGTGTCCTTCCCCAGCCCTGGCCATGCAACAGGAGCTCCCGATATTCCCTCTGGAACAGGCGGGTCAGGGAGGGCCCGGGGCGGCTCCTGCCCAGGGCGCACAGAGGGGCCGTGCTCCACATGGTCCCGAGAGCTGGGACACAACAAACAGCGTTTAGTGACGGGAATTACAGTGTGGATTCTCTCGGTTGAGGGGGAACGCGGCCCCCTCGCCTCGGGCGGGAGCCGTGAGGGGACAGCCCCGGTGCCTGCCCTGCCATGTGGGCCCTGCGGGGACACCCCCTGATGGACGGGGATCGTGAAGGGACAGCCACTGTTCCCGCCCTTCTCCGAGGGTCGTGAGGGGACATCCTGACTCCAGTCGGTCGTGAGGGGACACCCCTCTTTCCGCCCTTCCACGGGGGTCGCGAGGAGACACCGTAAGTTCCTGCCCCGCCAGGGGCCTCCTAAGGGGACACCTCCGGTTCCCACGGAGGTCGTGAGGGGACGCCGCGGCTCCCCCTGCGCCCGCGGGCCGGGCGGGCCCCGCCGGGCCTGCGGAGCGCGGCGGGGCCGGGGCCGTGCCAGGCAGGGAGCGCGGGGCTGCGGCCCCTCCAGCGGGGCTCCCCGGCCTGGCCTGGCCCTCTGCCCGCCGCTGGCTCCGATCCGCGCCCGCCGCGGCCCGGCCGTATCTGTCCCACCGCCCCTGACTTACCCCGTCCTGTCCGGGCCCGCCTCACGGGGCGGCTCCGCGGAGCGGCCCGCCCCGGTGTCCCGTGCCCCGGGTGTCCTGTGCCATGTGTGCCCTGTGCCCTTGGTATCCTCAGCCCCGAGTGTCCCGTGCCCCGTGTGTCCTGTGCCACATGTGTCCTGACCCCTGGGCGTCCCATTCCTTAGGTGTCCTGTCCCCTAGGTGTCCTGTGTCCCAAGAACAGGGGTTTCCCGTGCCATGTGTGTCGTGTGCCCTGTGTCCCAGGTGTCCTGTACTCAGGTGTCCTGTGCCCGGTGTCCTGTGCCATATGTGTCCTTTGCCCAGGTGTCCTGTGCCCCCAGTGTCCTGTTCCCTGGTTGTCCTCTCTCCAATTAAATTCATTATTAAAATATTAAAACTAGTGCGTTTTATTTTTCTCCTTCCATACCCCATCCCATCCCTGGGCTGCTTCAGTTTGCTACTGTCAGTCATGTCATAACCTTCTAGAAATTACTGTGTGTTGCCTTTCAGCGCCTTCATTAAAATGCATCCCTGCCAGAGAGCTCTTTATCCATATTATACATATTAATAAGGCTGGGTTGTGATAATTAAGTGATGACTAATATGTTCGTGAGTGAAAGTATCCAGCATAACATGGAATTTGTAGGTAAATAAGTTATATATGTTATTAAAAAATCTTGAGGATAATAATTAAGATTTGCTGAGCTATTCTAATTAAAAATATATTTTTTTTGTCCTTCCACAGTTAGAGCAGACAGGACAGTTTGGTGCTGTGCTCCCTTGTATCAGAAACTCGATGCAGGTGGAGCTGTGGGAAGTGACATCACTGCCTTGAGTGGCTTCAGCTGTCCCTTGGGAAGTGCCAGAGTCCCTTCTGCTGTCCCAAACCCTGTGACAGGGAGATGAAGGTCTGTGCTGGACCTAGGGAGAGCCCTAGGGTTTCTGTCAGAGAAAATGTAACACTCAGGGATAACAAGACACTGCAGAGGGTCAGGCTAAGTCGGGGATGGGATGTCTGCATATGTAAATAATCCCTTTAAAAAAATAGGGTCCCAGATCTGATTTGCATTTTCAAAAATGCTCATTAATTCTGGACCAGTCAAAACGGGGCATTTGTTACTGGTAATCACAGAATGCCAGGCTGGTTTGTGTTAGAAGGGACCAGCGCACCTCATTCCACCCCCTGCCATGGGCAGGGACACCTTCCATTATCCCAGGTTGCTCCAAGCCCCATCCAACCTGGCCTTGGACACTTCCAGGGATGGGGCAGCCACAGCTTCTCTGGGCAACCTGTGCCAGGGCCTCACCACTCTCACGGCCAACAACTCCTACCCAACATCCCATCTAACCCTGCCCTCTGGCAGTGGGAAGCCATTCCCCCTTGTCCCGTCCCTCCAGGCCCTTGTCCCAAGACCCTCTCCAGCTCTCTTGGAGCCCCTTTAAGCACTGGAAGGGACTTTAAGGTCACTCTAGAGTCTTCTCCAGGTGAACACCCCCAGCTCTCCCAGCCTGTCTCCAGAGTAGAGGGGCTCCAGCCCTGGGAGCATCTCTGTGGCCTCCTCTCAACTGAATAATGAAACTATTAACAAGCACACTAATCTGGACACGTGTTGTGGCACTGATGCAGCCATGAGAAGTTCCTGATGGAACCCATGGATGAATTCAGCAGCTGCTGCATCATTTGGTCTGGTTTGGGGCATTTGTGCCTTGAGTTGTTGCTCATTTCAGTTCACATCTCCCCTCCTTCCCTGGTATAGCCAGGACTCTTTTCTCTCAACAGTTTGAGAAACTTGTGAACAGCTGAAGAGGAGAGACAGAAGTAATTATGGAGATTTGCATAGATCTTGCATTTCCCATGGGATTTAATGTGAATTTTTGTGCTCTGTGTGGTGCAGGTGATAATGGGGAAGGAAAGAGTGGTGACAGAAATCCATGTAAAGCAGCAGAATACATTTGAGGAGGTGTGAATTTCAAAGAGGTGTTGTAGCAGTGAAAATGCTGCATACTCGTGTTTGGCTTGCTGGAGAAGGAATTGCAGGTGCAAATGCTTGGATATGTATTCCAAGTGAGATTTGGGCTTCCTGTTATTTCTGGGCTTTTTTTTAAAGCTGACCCATATATCATTTCATGGATTAGTAAGATTTTTTTCCTACTCAGTTCTGTGAATGTATCAGTGACTCCTGTTCCATTTTAATTTTCATGGTTGTTATTTCATTTTCCGTAATTAAGTATGTGGCTTCCATAAGAGACACTATCTCTAAACTGCTGGTGTTGTGTGGCAATTCCATCTTATGTGATTTTAATTTGCAGGTTTTTTTAAAATACCTCTTGCAGTTAATTTTTTATTGCTTATATTGTGGTGGCCTTGGCAGTGCTGGGTTAACAGTTAGACTTGATGATCTCAAAGCTCTTTTCCAGCCTAAATGATTCTGTGATTCTTTATTATTGTACAGGTTTTCCAGTAGATAGAATCAGTGTTTACAGGCAGGATTTGCTGTATGTAACTCAGGTGCCTTTTACTCAGGCTTAAGTGAGTAATTTAATTTCATTCTCATGAAAGCTGAATGCTGTTTGCACAGATTAAAGGATAAAGAAATACTTTTCCCTGCATTTCAGCCCCCACATATATGTGAGTGGATGCTTATCACAGACAGAAGGTATCAGCCACCAGTTTGTACTGGGAGACAGCTTGGTATAAATAACAAATCCTCTAATTAAAAGCCAACAGATCCTATTTGACTTATTTTAGTCCTCAAGCTGGGATCAGCCTTTCTCTCTTGCTATGGCATGGAGCATCCTTTGTTTAACAAACACCAAGGGGGAATCAAGTGAGGGAGGAAAAAACAGCCCTTCTGAGAGGCTGCAGCCGTGTGCAAGTGTTTGAAGTTGTTATTTTAAGAGCTTATTTTAGCGACTTTTGAGCTGAGCATTGAGAATATATAGAGCAGCATTTAGGGAAAATGCTAATGTGGTGGTGGCTTCCTTTACCATGAGCTGCAGCTCTGCCAGAAAAGCTGAAATGTGCCATTTAAGGAACACCGAAGCTTTGAGGGAAGTTTGAACTCAGCTGGATTTAGAAACTTGCTGGAGTGCACCGGATGCTGGGGGAAACCAGAACACACTTTCTGGATTGTCAGACCAAAGGCAGGAAGGTTCCCACAAAGCCCTCCTCCTTGTGGAGCTTCTGTTTCTTATTTAGATTTTGTTTTTTAATACCCAAAAAGCTTTTAGTGGTGTTCTGACAATGGGGGCCTGGAAATTGGGCTAAATTAAAACAGGTTTTGTTTGTTTACTTAGAAGTGCTAACAGACTCAGACAGTCCCACTGCATTTTCAGGGCTTACATCATTCTAAAATAGATTTAATAGATTCAAAACAAATTTGATAATGAAGTAACTTCCACTTGGTGTGTTTGCATCTATTCCAAAGGAAAAGCTCAGCCTTGTGAGGTGTGCTGAACTGCATTTGATATGAAATAGTAAGAAGTTTATTTTAGTTGCAGGAAAATTTAAGAGAACACGAGGAATAAATGAACCAATTGGAAGATGGGAGACTAAATGCAAGAGAAGTTGGGAACCTGATCCTCAGTAAGTAAATTTAATTTCCACTGAGAATGTATCAGATGCTCCCATACCATTTAGCTTCTTATTTTGGATGGCTTGAAGTTTTATAAATCCCCACATAGAGAGATGTGCAGAGCCAGGTAGGCCTTCACAAACTGTGCCAAAAGATGAGGGTGAGCAGCTGAGTCATGGAAGTTTTCTGCACATTTCTTCAAGTACAGATGTATTACAACACCTGTAAAAATACCTGTTAGCATCAAACCCTTATCCACATGTATTTTTCACATCATTTAACATAGTATCACAGTATTTTTTAACTGTAGTTTAGCCTTCCCAGGTTCCCAGTCTGTTGCCACAAAGACCTGACAAACCCATGAATAATTGCATAATAATTCCAATTGTGGAAACACAGCTGATTTGGAGAAGACAAAGAGTGTGTACACTTGCTTACATTACTGAAAAATGGGAGTTTCTGGTTTGTCTTACTCCTGCAAAAAATGCACAGAGCAAAAAGAGCAGAACTATCTTCTGGTTAAGAGATAATTAATAGTGCATACATAATTAATAGTGTGTACAATTCCCTGTTGCAGGGCCAGAGTCTGTCCTGAATTGCACTGCTACGAGCTGAAGAGCACAGAATTCCATTCTAAGAATGCAGGTAACTGGTGATACCCAAATGAGAAAAAAAGTAACTTCGGCTTTCCTGGGTTGAAGTGGCAGAGCTGCCGGATCACCTGTTGGTTTTACCTGGACAGGTAGGTGCAATCACTGAGTGGCTGCTGAAAAACTTGTACAGCTGCAATATGCAACAACTGTGTGAAGATCTGTTTCTTCCTCTGTTTATAAGGCCTAACCAAGAGTCTTCTGAAGTCATCAGAAAGCTTTTTGTAGGTCAGAGGAGCTGCAGATTCAGTTGCAAACCCTGGTGGATGATTCTAGGAAAGTGCTGATGGATTTATTCCCCTGTGTGAGCACTTGGCGCTGAGTGGTGACACCAAAGCCTCAGCCTGTGTCCGACTGTTTGGAGTGCCTTGAACATGGTTTTGTAAGGCCATTGCTAGCTAGTAATTGGGGAGTGGATGTGGTCAGGGCAGTCAGATAAACACATGGAGGGAGGGGATGAATCACTGAGTAAATACACTATCGATGCTGTAGGAGCTGCTGTTACGCACAGCACGTCGGGGGGATGTGACGTGTTTGTTTCCTGCTCTCAGGAAAATGTTACTTGAAAGAGGAATTGAGGCTAAATGTGTAGTTCCAAATTTGCAGCTCCACACCTTCCTCATGCCTATCTTGTCTCCTTTAGACTCTTAACCAGTTGCTAGTTTAACATACCCCCCTTCTTCTTACAAATCCCCTTAGAATTGGATCCCCCACTCTGAGGTCATACCAGAAAATTTTCCATTGCTGTAAACATCAGTGTAATTGCATCATCAAAAGCCCCTAAAGCAGATGGTCTGGTTTAAAGCAAAAAGACATTTATGCCAGTGAAACAGCATTATAGTTATTAGTGCAGTGTGTTGGCAGTTTCTGTCAGCAATTTTTGCAACCATGTAATATCTGAAAGGATAAAAACACTATATACTGTGATTTGCTTGCCACATAAAGATGCCAGAGTGATATAGTACCAAAAACAGGGAGAAAAGCCCTGCAAGTAGTCTTTTGTCCTCCCTTTTGCACATTACCAGGTTCTTGGTGGATACACTAAATCTACTTGAAGAACCTTATGCTCCTTGTGGGGACTGGGACACCCCCTTATCCAGCAGCCTCCAGGCAGCCTGAGCCATCCTGGATGATGATTATGATCTTCAAGATTCCTTCCAACCCAAGCCATCTTTGTGATCCTTGGGCATATGGAACCATCAGCTTTGTAAGGAGCAAAGAGGAACCACAGCAGGATGCTGGATGCCAACGTTTGTGCGCATCCAAGTAAAGGTCTGTTCATTCCTGTTTACAGTGTTGAAGATTTACCAATAAAAAGGCCTAATTAGAAGACAAATTAGATTTTTAATCACTCTGTTGCAAGATAAAAAGCATGGAGATACATATATATATATGATGTGTATATATATGCCTATGTGCTGAAATGAATTCTCCAATCCTCTAGTGGTTTTTTTATTTGTAATTAAAAAATCTTTGTTCAGAAGAAGGAAAGATCAACATTTGTTTCAGCAGTGGTCAGTACATTCTCTTCTCGTACCCTGTGCACCTAATTCACCATTTCCAGCCCCCAGTTCCCAAATGCTTGCTTCCTCTTTGCCATGGCAGAGTCCTCAGTCCTGGATTGTTCTGAGATCATGGAACACATTTTAATCTCAAAATCATGGAACACATGGAACACATTTTTGAAGACAAAAACCTCATTTCTGAGCTTGGAACTACATGAAATCTGCCATGATCTGTAGAATATCTCTACCTTGAGTTTTGGTGCCAAGGTTCAGCAAGGAACTGAGTATTAAGCAACAATACATATAAAATCACAGACAAGATGCTGCAGTAATACCATAAAATCCTTCTCCAGTTCCTGCTTTCCTGATCCACTTGGCATAAAATGTCTTCTTGACTTCTACTTACTATTCTAATAAAAACCACGGGGGTTTCTTCTCGCTGCTACTTGTTGTGTCAAAGATCCAGTAATTGGTACCATGTGAATTAACACTTTGCAGTGACAGAACAGAGTGCACAAACCACACTGAGAAATGGGGTTCTGGAAAATCACTTCAGCATTTCAATCTCTGGCAAACATCAGGGCTGGAAACCCACATCAAGTAGCTTATGTTAGTCCTGCTGGTAACCACCTATATGAGTATTTACAGCTCAGATGTAATCATGATAAAAAATTATTAAATTGTTATATTTTTGTGAAAATTCTGTTGTATCTTCATACTGGAATTGTTTTATCCTTGGTTTGCATGTACTCCCTTGCAATATTATACGCTTGTTATAATTTTAGTTATTGGTAACATGTTTAGCTTAGTTTGGTGCACTAAAAATTGAGTCTGTGGTTCATGATATTGACACTGTGAAACACAGTGAACAATTAATGACAGCAGAAAAAGAATGAAAAAGAAAAATCAGAGTCACAACACCCTGCAAAGTCTTATGGTATATTTTAAGAGATTGATAGAAGGGCTTGAATTCTCCAGCCTCCTGTGGGTTACCTTTACTCTCCAGGCTACTTGGATCATCTTCTCCCTGATGTCCTTGACTTAATTGAGCTGTAGTGTGAGAAACACTTGTTCAACAACTGCAGGCGCCGGCGCCGCAGGGGAGCCCTTCAGCTGGGCTGGAGAGGGAGGGCTCTGGGATTCTCCAGGCTGCTCAATCCAGCCCTCAACACACAGAGCTGGATAATGCCTTCTTGAAACCCCTCAGGCACTGGGTAGGTCTTTTGATTGGAAATCTTTTTGAACTAGAGTCACCTATTGCAGCTCTCAGCCTTGCTGTTGCATAAAAGAGGCCTTCAAATTTCCCCCCTTTTGTCTGACAGGATCCTTTTTTCAGCAGTCAGCCTACATGGCCACAATTTAATCATTTAAGGTGACAAAAAAACCTGACAATGGGTTCTCAATTCTAATGGAGTCATTTTTAGCTGGTATTGTTAGAAATGAAGTTAAAAAATGAACACAGGCTTTCAAACTGGAAGCAACCGGGTACTTTTAAGAAGCTGTTCTGGAAAACTGGCTGAGCAGTGCTAAAGAAAGGGAAGGAAATTTCAGTGTTGTCAAGACAAGTTACTTTAATCCAGTAAAATCAGGACTGTGAGAGCAAGAACTCTGTAGCTGGACATGGCAACTTGCTGGTTCCAGACCTGGCCCATCACTTAATCACCTCATCTTGGTTTCCGCTGGTTTTGGTGCTGGATGAGGAGTATCTATGAGTAAGGCTGAATATACCCATGATATGGGAAAAACGAGATGGAGCAGCAGTTTTGCTGCTGGCAGGTGTCACTGAGAGCTTCCCGTGGCACTTGAGGCTGGGGCACTGACTGTGCAGTTCTCTTTGCCCTCCCAGTAAATCCAGTCCAAACTGGTGACCCAGGGAACAAACAGGGAACTTTGGAACATTCAAAGAGAGATGTTATAGAAAGCCCAGAAACCATGGCTGAGATAAGAATTTAGCAGAGGGAATTTTTCCACAAAAACCTCCAAGAGATTTACAGTTGTCATGTTTTTAGCTTGGAAAATACAATCCAACTCTCTCATTTTCAGGTCTCTGACCATTATCCTCTGGTCTCAGCAGAAGAGGAGAGGTGTAATTAACAGATTCATTAATGCCAGAGTAATAATTATGAACTGCAGGAGTGGCAGGAATGCTTATTGTAGAACTGAATTCTGATTTTTCAGAACTCAGGAGAAACGTAGGGAAAAGTAAAAAAATTAGTGAAAAATATTATTTAATCTGAATCTAAAAATGCCAATATGTTTAAAAAAGAGGAAATGTAGCAGGTAGCTTACACAGTGTGTCTGTACATAAATTTCAATTATAACAGTACTTAAAATTATGTATTTTTATTTCTTTCCTTGCCACAACATTATCAGAACCTGTCTGCTATGAAGGGCACCAGGGCGGAGGGTTTGGGGTGGCACCAGGGCTGCGGCTGGAAGAGCCCGTGGCCCTTCCTGTCCCTCCTGAGCTCACCTGTGTGAGAACAGCCCCGGGCAGCGGGTGGGACAGACGGGAGGGCTCCGTGCCCGGCCCATCGCCTCACTGCGGCACTGCCCCTGCTTATTTGCTCTCTGTATCACTTCTCCCCAGGAGCTCAGAGGAATCAGCAAATCTCCCCCAGCAGAGCTACGAATCCCCAGTCCAGTTCATTCAGGCGCAGCGGGACCGCCGGGAATTAATCCGAGGGGGAATGCTGTGAATTCCTGCGCTCTCTTTCTTTGCTGGGCGCAGCTGGTGGCGGGGCCACTGCCAGATGAAAGCAGGGCTGTCAGCTCCCAGCAGCCTGGCTCCAGCTGCATTCCAGGGCACGGACTGGCCTCAGCTGGTCCCCGGGTGCCGCTTCCCTCTGCCAGGTTAGACACAGAAGGAGTACAAATTCCATACACCTCACTTTTCTAACTTTCAGTCTGTTTTTTGGAGTTACCAAATTCTCTGAGACAAAGCTAGAACTGAGCTATTTTTGAATGCTAGGCCACAGCATCACAGACCCCAGGGATGGGAGTATTTATTGACAGCCCATCATCTTACCACTTTGGAGTTGTTCTTTTTCTGATCTTCAATTCTCTAACTGAGATTTCCATGATGTAACAGGGAAGCTATTCTTAAAGGGCTTTTCATAGGGAATTCTGTTTTCTTTAGGATGTCAGTGCTTAGTTACTGGAACGCTGGCATGGGTTGCCCAGAGAAGCTGTGGCTGCTCCATCCCTGGAAATGTCCAAGGCCAGGTTGGATGGGGCTTGGAGCAGCCTGGTCTAGTGGAAGGTGTCCCTGCCCATGGCAGGGGGTGGGACTGGATGAGCTTTAAGGTCCCTCCCTACCCAAACCATTCTATGAGTCTACAATTCTATACATTTGGGATTTGAAGATTTATTTACATTTTAACATATATAATTCCAAAATTATATTTCATTGCTATTTTGTCACTCTGCAGCTATTTTTTCTTTCTGTCTTTGATTTAAAAGGCCATTTCATGGCCCCTTCAGCACCAGTCTTTGCAGAACAAAACATTTACCACACAGCCCCTTGTGCCGGGGTGGCACAAGGCTGGGGATGAGCAGCTGGAGATGTAAAGGTGTTGTACCCACTGCTGCCATTGAAAACTCTCTCATGAAACACAATCTGGGGGGAGGGAAAAATAAGCATTGGGATGAGATGAATGACATGGGGGAAGAGATTTTTAAATCAGCATTGCCACTGTTTTTGTGCATTTCTGCTGTATCCTCAGTGTCCTCAGGCTCCTGAACTTTTTGGCTGGGAAGAACGGAACAGGCCTGTTTGCTATTCATTATCTTTTTGTGCTTTCTTCGGTGTTCCTGAATATATTTATCTTGTACATGCATATGTAAAAACTTCTTATTCTAGTTATTTTTTACTTTCTGTCCTAAGGCTTGTGTTCCTACTAGTGAGGACATGCTGGAGACTAAGCAGGCATTGTTTAAACACTTCCCGTCTTGCTCCACGGGGACACTTCAATCTGTCTTGCTAAAGAAAAAAAAGAGATTAATCATTCTTGGTTTTTGTTTTTTTAGAATACTTGATTCTGACAGTGAAACAAATTTGTGTGGCTTAACTGTGTTGCAGACACTGTTGCTTGAGTCATACCATCTTATTTTATCCAAGTTCTTCGAAATAACTCTCTGAAAGGTCAATCTTACTTTAGTAATCGGGATTTTGGGGGTTTGGTAGGAACAATCTAGTTTCAAATAATTAACCTGGACAGCATGTTGTTCAAGGAAAGAAAAATAAATCCCCCATTTCTCTGCTTTCCTCTATGCACAGGTTACCAAGCCCGGGGGTCTCGGAGTGCAGGTGAACACTGCTCACCTGTTTACTCCTCTGGAGAGGTGAGGAATGATCAGAATATGCAACTCCTTCTGCACAGTGGAGGAATTATTTACTGCAGATACAGACTGACAATAAATTAGTACACCCCCAAGAGTCTGGAAGGAACAGAGGAGGAACAGTGAGTCACTCCTGAGTCATAGAGCCTCCCCGGATTTATCCTGGGATGATGTACTGCACGCACCACTCCTTGATCTGGTCTGTCTCGAAAGGACAACCCTGAATATAATTGTGGAAAAATAAATGCTAGCAGCAATCATTCCTTGGCAGCAGCAGACTTTATTATGTTTTGTAAGAGCCTCCCTGTATCAGGTCAGTATTTTGATAAGAAATAGTGAAAAAAAAAGCAGAGCAGGTTGGTTTGGCTGCTCAGTCAGTCTGCAGTCAGGGGCTGTCAGATCACCCCTCTGCAGCCCTTGGCATGAGTCAGGGGGGCTTTTTGTGATGGTTTTGGGGAACAATCAGAGATCCCTGCATTGTTAAAACCATGGGCAGAGGCAACACTTATTGTGCTTTTTCTTTCTCCTCCATTCCTCTAAAGGCTCTGCCTGCTGGGAGCTTTTTCCCTAGTCAGCACTGCTTGATGCCTGAGGCCACATGGATCTCCCAGCCCGTGGTGTGCTGGGGACCTGCCCTGCTCAGGTCCCATTCCTGAGGGCAGGGGATGGAAGTTCCAGACCTCTGGCACAAACAAGGCATCCTGTAATCAAAACCATCTGGGTTTTGCTTTGGGTGGGAACCACCACTGGAGAATACCAATTGTGCCAGAAGCTTTCTCAGTCCAACAAAGCTCATGTAAGGGATTTGTTACAGTCCTGCACTCCTGGTTACAGGAGCAGAGGTATCCAGAAAACTCTGCAGTCTCTTGTGCTTTGGGCTTAAGTGTAATTCTGGCAGCCTCACACCCTTGTGTGGCACAGCACATAGGAATACAAAAGCTGCTTTAAAGTCATGTCCCTGTTCTTTGCCAAAGCACAGGAGCAGAGGGGCTGAAAATGTGGAGTTTAGACTTTGTGATGTGTTCTGAGGTGGGAGCAGTACAAATTCCTCATAACCTCATCAGGACTGCTCACAGCATGTTCCCATCCTAGAGCTGTGTCTATGTCTGTCTTACCAGGAACCAAAATCAGGATTTGAACCCCTGTTTAAAGTATTTTGGTTGAAGGTGTTTTAATCTCTTTGCAGTGCTGACTACCCTTAGCTGTCAGGAGAGCTGCATGTTGGATTAGATATTAGACAAAAATCCTTCCCTGTGAGGGTGGTGAGGGCCCTTGCCCAGAGAAGCTGTGGCCGCCCCATCCCTGGAAGTGTCCGAGGCCAGGTTGGACAGGGCTTGGAGCATCCTGGTCTAGTGGAAGGTGGCAAGGAGCTGTGTGAGATAAATGTGTGTTTTCTGCTTGGTTTGCAGCTGGAAGGGCCCAACAAGCATCAGAGCCAGCACATGATAAGCTTCAGGAATGTGTGGAGGAGGAGAAGTAACGGTTCCTTTCCCTGTAAGGATCAGACGTGTATCAGATCAGCTCCTGTAATTTCACCCTGAACCTCCCACCATGTTCCAAAATTGAACAGGCAGCAGGTCAGTTAAAACTGAACAGGCTTTCAAACTCAGGTGCCGGTGCAGGGTGAGGGACCAGCAAGTTGTAACAACCCCAGAAATATAACTGAGGGTGCAAATGGGCCAGGAGGTCCTGATTTCTCCTTGTCTGACAGACCTCTTATCCTATCTCTTTCCTTATGAAAGTTTTATGAATCTTAAGTACATTAAATGTCAGCTATCTTGGCAGGGGTCTGTCTTAATGACAGATCTCTTTTAAAGATGATGAATGTCCACTGTAGACATTCATTTTCCTTCTTCCTGTTGACTGAGAGGGGTATTGAAAACAGTCTCAGGAGAAGAAGCCTATGACTAAATGTCGTAGCATTAAAAATGTATCTAAAGAAACAAATACCCTTATTCCTATTTCTTTTACACACATCACATGTGGTATAAATGAGAAGTTTGGGTTAAAGATTAGTGCTGAGTTTGATTTGAGAAGATTTAATGACACTGTGCTGAACCATACAGTGTCACCAGGAGTGAATATAGCTGGACAGGAAAGCAAAATTCATTAGAACTGTCACTGCATAAGAAGGGACATTTTTTTCTGTGAATTTTCTATCAGATGGAGTCCTGGTCCATGACCAGTTCTTGCTTCCTGCTGCACGAACAGCAGTTGTCAAAGAATCACAGAATCCTGGAATGGTTTGGGTTGGGAGGGACTTTAAAGCCCATCTCATTCCAGCCCCTGCCATTGGCAGGGACACCTTCCACTGGACCAGGTTGCTCCAAGCCCCTTCCAAGCTGGCCTTGATCACTTCTCATTGCACATTCTAATCAACTGATCACTCTGAGGCAGTAACAAACTCTCAGAAACCACACAATGATGTAACTTGATTTTATATATACATATTCAAATAATTTTATTAAGCACATGTAGGAACTTTGGCTGCTGTTTTTCAAAATAACTGAATCCAAAATAAGTTGCTACACCTATAAAAATAGCAGTTCCAGACAGACTCCAGATCAGAATGTTATTCACAACATTAGACTTGTGATCAATAGCTGGAAGAGTGTTGCTAGAAATAGTCCTGCCATGGGAAATGTACACGGCATTGGCTTCCTGCTGGCTCAGAACAGGTCATGCCCCAGTCCTTCTGCAAAATTTCTGCTGGATTTATCTTCAAGTACACACAGAATAAGCAAAGCTTCTTGACTCAGTGGAGAACTCTGTCTGATTCCATCTGCCATACTGTCTGTAGGGCTGCTGAGGAGGAACCTGGAGGGTGCGAATCCTCAGCAATACCTCTGGGAGAGGGGGACTGGGATTATTCTGTCTGGAGCAAACTGGCAAATTCTCACTTCATCTTCTCAGCAGCAGTGGGCCCCTTGAGGCATGATGATCCCCACAGAAGGGTCACAGAATCATGGAATTGTTTAGGTTGGAAAAGCCCTCCCAGACCATTGAGTCCAGCTGTTCCTCAGCACTGCCAAGGCCACTGACCCATGTCCTCAAGTGCCACATCCACACTGCTTTTAAATCCCTCCAGTGA